TTGGATTAAATACTTAATATGGTTTTTGTTGGGGTTAGTGGGGCAATTGATTTCATTGCCACCACCGTGAATCCACCATGGGATAGGATATGATATCGGATATAGCTATGCGGTGAAATATCCGTATTTGTATCCGAAATATTCAAATATATGTTGGTCATAAAGTCATAACAATTTTGTTATTTAGGTTAATGAATTTGAGATTAATTTTGAAGGTTAAGATGATCTAATCTTAGCTTTTCAGATTTAATGAACATATTACTAACTTCTCTGCATTACTTGAACTATATTTTTTCTCTCCATGTTATCTAGTTTTCTATTACCTGATTTATAATTGCATGTATATTCTCTTATATATATCTGCATTCAGTCTTATTCACATCCGATTTTAATGGATATGGTTATGATTTTTATCGAGTTATATATGTATTCGATATTGGCAAGCACATATAAATATGTTCGACATCATATCTAAGTTGTATCCGAATTATGTGCGCCGCTGTCGATTATGGCCGCAATTCTTAAGTTATTTTGAAATTTATTCCCCCCAAAAATATCAAGTTCTGCAGCTTTTACGTACTTGTTTAAATTAATTGCTTTAATTGTTAGTTATAATCTTCAACAAAGAGACCTATTTCTAAATAAATTAATAATTTCTTGACCGAATAATAAATTTTAGCTATGTGGGGGGCTAATTTTTAAACATTAAAGATCGTGATTAGCTTCGCAAAATATGAAAGACACTAGATGTAAGGGACTAATATAAACATTTACTATTATGGCATCTAACTATACCCTTACCCTATATTGAATTATTTTAAAATCCGGTTTATATATTTCAGTAGTTTGGAAATGCAACGATTGAATGAAATCAGAAGAGAAGGAAGAACGAATCTTTGAAGGGGGCTCCGGTAATGGGTAAGAGGTTTTATTTTCTTCGTTGCTTTGTATTCTGAAGGAGATTAACCCTCCTTTTATAGGGGCTAAACCCACTATCTCCACCCCCTTCAGTTCCGCCCCATGAGAGATTTCCTCTCAACAAACCATTCCACGTTCCCACTTTTCTCTCAACAGAGAAACAAACGTTGATTTGGTCACCATGACCGAGTCTAGCTAACATCTCCCACTTGACCAAATTAATCGAATGAAACAAAAACGAGTGACATGTTTAAAACAGAAATTAAGGTCAATATCTGATAGTTATACATTTTCAGTTAAAATTAATTCATAGCTTCTATTTAAAACTAATCAACTCCCCCCAACAAGGATGTTGAGTGTTGTTAAAACTCATGAGTCTGTGAATGTATAACTATCTGATAGTTATACATTTTCAGTTAAAATTAATTCATAGCTAATAATATACACTAGGTAAAATTTAATCTAGGCTTTGAAAAAAAACTTGTTCTAAAACTCTAACAACTTGAGCTTTTTTTTAACAGAAGGTTTGAATGGATGATAAAAAGTTTCATTTAAATTTCACATTACGATCTTTATGCTTAAAAACAAGCGAAGAAAATAAAAGATTTTAAAAAAACAAAAAAAAAAGGGAAAACTATTAATTCCCATCCACGCGATCGTGAGGATCTGCATTGGCCTGCCTTTTTCAATCACAAATATTGTGTGAACTAAAACAGAAAGCAAACAAGGAAAGACAACGACGAGGACCACAAAATAATAATAATAATAATAATAATAATAATAAAATCCTATTTCCTTTTTCTATTGACACCCGTAGAAATGTGTAACATTGATAACCCTGAAAAATGTGATTTGCAAATAGAGTAAGCCGTAAAGTTTGTTTTCTTTTGTTTCCTTAAATTAAATTAACAAGGCAACACGCAAATAGACAAATGTAAATGTCAAATTCCTAAGAGCATATTCGAGAACTACTGATTCTGATCAACTTAAGTTAAAATCTTGTGGACTATAATGTAATTGGTAAATTTAGTAGATTATATATTTTTTTTTAAAACTTCACATATTTTAAAAATGGGTAGATTATAATGTATTATTATTTTCAGAATAATATAAAAGGACCCTAGATTAATGAAGCCGATGATAAGTTAATAATAAGTTAATAATAACTAAGCTTAGATATTTGTGAAATGTCTTTACTTGGTCAAGCTTTATGGATTGTAATCCACCAAAAATTAAATTAGAATATCTAAACTTATTTTCTAATGGGTTATTATAATTAAAAAAAAAGAAATCTCGCAATATCTAAACTTATTTTCTAAAATTATTGTCCAAATAGCAATAGAGGCATTAAAGAAGGACGCATTTAAAACCCCAAAAATTCAGACGAAAATGAAGAAATAAGGAGGAAAAAGGGGAGAAAAAGAAGAGGAGAGAGAGAGAGAGAGAGAGAGAGAGAGATTTCTCTTTTATTAATCTCGGGAAAATGTCGGCGTCGACGGTGTGGTCCTCCGCCTCGGTATCCGGTCCTCCGCTCTCCTTCAAGAGACCCTCTCTCTGCGCTCGTCCAGCTTCACTCTCTCACCCTAACCCTCGACCTCTCTCTTATTCTTCCTTAAGGTGAGAAATCGAAATATTTTCAAAATTATGCCTAGATTCGTGCAAAGCATCTAAATCTACGACGACCCATTAAATTTTTTCGTTTGTTGCGGCCTAAAGGCTGGATCTTTTCACTTTTGCTGCTGTCCTACTGATAGCACGCTAGGAAATTTTAGTATCTCACTCAAATACAGCCGTTTTAGCTGTAATTCGTTGGGCAATTTTTGAGTTTCTTTGTTCTCAATGGGGTTTTTAGTGCATGTTGCTGTTTACAGCAGGAACTTGTTCTTCAAGTGTAATTCTTTTGCGAATTTGCCATATCTTTAGGTTTTAGTGTGTTTTGGGGGAGCTTGTTTTTTGGTCAAACTAGCTTTTAAGCTAGCTTTTTTATTTATTTATAGTTGTTTGATAAAATACCAAATAAGTTAGTCCCATTTTAAAAAGCCCCTATAACCCAACTTTTGAAAAACTATGTTTAGCTAAGCTTTGATCAAACAAATTATTATTCTACCCAAACAATTTTTATAGCATTTTTATCATAGAAGTCAAAAGCCACGAAAAACCAACATACCTTATATAAGCTTAAAAAAAAGGATTCGGATCCTCTCCACTACAACAAAAATAGTGGAGGGACCACTATATAATCACAGCCATTGATTATCTAGATGATGGTTATGATTTTTTCTTTTAGTGCAAATTAGGAATGAGTGCAATACACGGGGGTATGGTAAGTGTTAGATTTAGATTGTATCATAACCGCCTATTAAATAATCAACGCTTGAGATTAAAAGTAGTGGTCTCTCCACTACTTTTTTGTAGTGGAGATGATCCAAATCCAAAAAAAAAGCATTCATGAACACTGTGGGCTAGCCTCATTTTCGGAGTTTTGTTGCATGGAGCTGAGTGGAAAAAGGTTAGAAGGGGCAAAAAACGGTTTGTATAGTTAGTAGCAAAGATCAAAATAAGGATGAAGATGGTGCGAAGAATTCGAAGCTTTGCCATGCATGTGTTCTTGGCATGTTGATCTGAGTTTTCAATCAGTAATATAGATGCAAAAGAGCAAATTTCAAATTTTGGTGGAGGCGTTTGGAGGAGTGTTTGTATCAGAACCTAAAGTATCTATCAACGCGGAGCAAAAAAGGTTGTTTGCTTTTATTTATTTGTAGGTTTTTTTTTTGTGGTGGTGGTGGGGG